CCCCCCTGCCCTTCCCTTCCCTTCCCTTCCCTTCCCTTCCCTTCCCTTCCCTTCCCGTCCCTGCAGAAGGCTGAGGGGCACACCATGCACACATTCAGTCTCTCCACCCAAGGATTATTTTCACCAGAGCAACATGCCCCTCTTCTCCACTCCCATTTGTAGCAGAACAGGATTTCTCTGCTTGTCTCCCAGAGGAGGTGAATAACAAGCTCTCTTTTTTTACCCTCCCCTCATTTTACAGCCATCTCCCTTCCTGTGATAAACGACATGACTAAAGGGGACACTAAGGTAAGGATGGGCCTGTAGTGGAAGATGCAAGTAAAGATGAAGGATGTGATGTTTAACCTCCACCTAGCTGCCTGGCTTTTGGGTGCCCCTGCTGAAATTCCCTGTAGGAAGTGCCAGGGATTTGCATGAGATCCATCTGCCCTACTCCCTCCCTACCAGGATTTACCCTTTATGCATCCCTTTGGGCAGGAGGGAATTCCTGCAGGATGTACCAAAGGGACCAAACAAGTTTGCCTAGAGGATGGTGAGGCTGGGGATGGAGGTTGGGTAACCCTCCCAGTCCTCCTACTTTCAGCTTTTCAAAGCTCACAACAGGAGGTGACTCAGAGGAGAGTGGGGGGAGATGTGATTCAGGAACAGGCATCGCTGGAACTGTGTGTGTTTTGGGGGGGTGTATACATCTGTGTTTGCATGTGTGTGATGTGTTACTTAAACATGCATGTTCTTAAAAAGTAGGCAACTGTCTGCTCTCAGATTGCTAATCTGTCCTCAGCTACTACTCAGCCTGTCTGGATGGCTACGAGCAGTGTGTGACTTGGCTGACCTCTCCAGCCACCTTTTATAGGCTTCGACCCATACATCTGTGTCATACCTCTGACATTCATAGCTGCACTTTACAAGTGTATGCACTCCCAGTGGGCTTTTGGCACCTGAATGCTTGGAGAGCTGTGTTTGCCTGTGTTGATCTGTGACAGACCTTCCCCCCTCCTTCCTGATACTGTAATACCTATAGTCTTTCAGATAACCTGATCTCTTACCTGCTCAAATTAAGACTGCTACAGAAATTAATGTTCAGAAAGGAAACACCCAGTCCTTCCCCTGCTACTTCTTGAATGTTTTTGTTTCCTGAAAATTTCTGCCCATCTAATTTTTCTCTCCAGGCATTAGTAGAGGAGGGCACATTCATGTCACTCTCAGCCACAGGCTCCATTGCACGTTGTCTCTGCTTGTTGTTACCTACAGGGCAAGCACCATGAGGCACACCTCCCTGTCTCCTGTCAGGTGTGTCTGGGCCTGGAGAGCTGTTGCTCTGTTAAGACTTTTAGCCTGCTTAGTCCTTGCTGGGTCTGAGCCATGAGCTGTGAGCCACTGAGTGCTGGCTTCAGGCTGTGTGCTGCTAACTGAGAAAGGGGACTCAGGGCAGGCACCTGCCCTGCCCCTGCAACTGGCCATGCCAGAGTGGGAAGCTCATTGGGCATCTGGTGAGACAATCCATTAATTCCACAGTTTTCCTTGTGAGATCTATTCCCCAATACGTTCTATGTGTAAAACATGGCACCTCCCAGTGAGCCACATTTAACTTTTGTGGAGGCTGGTGCAACTTCATGGAAATACTTCCACCAGGGAAGGATTGTATCCCAAACTTGCCGCTTCCCTGGGTACTGCACTGACACAGGCTCTATCTGAGAGCAAAAAAAAAGACCACACCTTTCTTTTGCGTTTTACTGCAACTGGAAAGAGCCATTAGGGCTTTTCCACCTTCACTGCCCTCTGAGACACAGCATTTCAGTGAAGGAAGTCATGGTCCCATGGGACAGATCAGGGCAGGGATATCATTACATGGGTACAGCAGTGAGCACTGCAGCTCTTCCTACACATCATGCTCTGTGCCACCAGCATTTGTGGGAGGCTCAGGGCTGTGAAATGACTAGTCAGCATCTGCAGGCCTGTCTTGGGCAGCTCATCAGACTTTCCTTACACCAAGGGCTTTCCATGGGCAGCTGAACACAACCAAAACATTTACAGTATCTCTGGTGTTTGATCACTTTTGTGCTCGAAGGACACTATTTCCCACTTACAAGCATACATTTCAGAAGGACCTGAACAAGCTGAGCTCAAAAGTGGTGAAGTCTGTCCTTGCAAGGACATGATCCTTTGGAGATTTCTGTGCAGGGACAGCATGAGCAGCTCTTAAGGATCTAGTTACATGCTCACAATTAGAGGACAGTTATGGCAAAATTCCAGTCAGAGATTCGGCACTGGATTCATTACATTCATTTGGAAATGATCTTCCTAATTCCCTGATACAGGCTGTTATTTCATGACCTTGTGAAGTCTCACTCTGCAAGACTTTCTTTTACAAAAAGACAAGGAGAGTGTTGTGGAATGACTGCACTCTTCATTTCATTATGTCACGAAGTTTCTCCACAGAGTTGGACATATTTCTGTGGTGACTGACATGTTAATTTGTGTTCAGACAAAGACCTTAGATCAGCTTAGAAGTCTTCAAAAAGCTTGTATATAGTGCTTCATTGGACCAGGTTCTTATTTCTCATGCTGAGAAAGTCCTTACTTCTGAATCTGCATCAAATACAGCCGCAATAAATGGCTCCAGATTTTGGGAAATCTGGGAGGGAAGTATCAGAATCTGAGATTTGTTCTATTTAATGGTAAAGTGACTCAAAGTAGTCTAAAATTAATATGAATGGATTGCTTCTGGTATAAGAGAATGATACCAGGGAAATGTCCCTGCTTTCTTTTCGTTAGATCTTTCATGTAAAATTTTTAATTCAGCAGGCAATCCCCTCAAACTCTGTAAGTAGTTAAGAGTTCAGCATTTCATGGCTATGACCTGCAAAAGCAGGATTCTCTCCTTACACAGGGTAAAAATTTGCCCATTCTGTCTGGTCAATGAATATATCCAGTTCCTTGAATGAGAAACATTGTAGATGACTGGGAATTGCTGACTTGTGTTTAATTTCTACTGCAGCCGCAGTGCTTTGCTCTCCTGAGAATGGTACCCTGTGAGGGAGGTCACGGCTCTTAGGGCTGTCTGCAGAAGTCATAAAGAGAAAGAGGTTCAGTGAGTGAATGTTCTGCCCCCAAGGCCTACTTGTATTATTTTTTTCAATTTAGCTTCTTTTTTTCTGCAAGCAGTTGTGAGCCCAGCATACTTTCTGGGCTGCTTTATCAACAACCATCATTTTGAACTGAGCAGCCTGATTCTTGCACTACTAATGGGCATTAAACTGTAATGAATGCTGCTTTCTCTCTTGTGTGACCATTTGGGTCTACCATGACCACGCAGCAGGGCTCCTGGTGGTGTGTCTCAGTGTGACAAGGGTGACTTCATTCCTGCCAGAGGTGCCACCTCGCCTTTGTGCCCATGGCTTTCATTCTCCTACTACGTATATAGTGCTGGGTGATCCCTGGGACATCAGTGGTGCTGCAGTTATATGGGTGAAGATCTAAACCTACAATCTCAGTACAAGTGGCAAGCTAGATAAATGCTTCTCATTTTACACCAAAGAAAAGGGCTGCTGGAAAGGGCAGGCCCAGAGTTCATCCTGTCTGTGAAGCTGCCTCAGGCATTTGCAAATGCTTCCAAGGAAAGTGTGGGAATTTTCCTTGTTGACTTGCCTCTGTGTATAGCTTTTCCAGTCTATAATGAATGGCTCGAACACCCAAGCACAAGGTCAAACACTTCTCCAGAGTGTCTTGTCCTTCTCTAGGGCTTGAGAGCAATGTTTCTCACCCACATTTGAAACTACAATTTGCCTCACCTCACTTTCCCTGCTTGTCCACACTCTGTGGTGCCTTTGTAAGGCCTGGCAAGATTTCAAGGTCATGACCACTTGTTGCTCTCTACAACCTCCCACTGAGCCCTTTTCTGAGGTGCAGGTTGAGCTATATTGACTTAAAAGAGGATGATTTTGAGCTCTCTATGTATATATCCAGATTCCCTTTGATCTCCTCATGTGCCCAGCCTCTGGAATGGGTTGGAGTCATGAGATCAACATGACACTCAGCTGAAGTGTGTGTCATGTTGAAGAAGCTCTTTCCATTGCCATGTGTCATTTGCTCACTTCTCAATTTCAGGAGGTACCTTCTGTTCCTGTGTTAGGTAAAACAAGAACCGAACATTCAGTTCTGGCTCGACCAGAAGAGCAAGAAGATCTGCGCCATCATCTGCTGCACTTTAGCCATGGTAACAAATAGATAGAGGAAAAAAATAGATAAAAGCTGTTCTTTAATTTGTATTTTTATTTCTTTATAGGTGATGAAGTGCATTGTAGAGGTCATCTCTGATACTTTATCGAAGCCAAATCCCCTGCCAATCAGCGAGGAATGCCTAGAAACACTCAGAGGAGGTACAGGCTCAGATTTGATGCTTGGTATCAGCAAGAGCTGATCTGGCAAGCAGGTGCTAGTCCTGCCCTGACACATGCTCTAATGCCTGACAAGGGGTCCCCAGCACCCTCACCTTCCTCCTGGTCACCCCACTGGGCTGCACCAGGCCCAGAAGCAGGGACAGAGGTGCTGCTTGGCCCAGGCCATGTATTGTGCTAGTACCATGGCCAGGGGGGTGCTGGGTGATGTGAAGCTGCCTGGTTTTCATGGGACCTTCCTGTCATCTTAACCACGTGGTTAAGGGATGTGGCAGCAAATCAGGCCAAGGGAGAGAAAAAAGTAAATGAAGAGGGGGGTGGCATTTGGGGTTGTTTTTAACTCCCTGGGGGTGGGAGGAGGTTGTATATGACCACTTTCTCTACCAAGTCTCCCCTGTTGCAGATGAACGAATCATTTCTATCCTTCGCCACCAAAATTTATTGAAGGAACTTCAGGAAATTGCTGCTCAAGGTACAGTTTCCCTGCAATAATTTGGGAAGAGGGGTTTTATCTGCTCCTTGCAGAGTTTTCTTGTTTGTGGTTTTTTTTATATTTTACATTAGTTTGTCATCATATAAATGTGCCCTAGGAAGTCTAGTTCCAGAACTTCCAGTAGAGACTGGGTGAGTGGGGACAGGAATTTTGCTTATAATAACTCCAGCATGCATCTGGTGATTTAAATGACTGTCAGTGGAGCTTGGTGGCCATGCAGAGTACAGGCATTTTGGGGTGGGAGAACCCTAAAAGGAAATACTGTAATTTAATTCAACAAATAACCAACAGCTCCCAAACTAGAAAGAAAGACAAGAAAAACTTCACTGTTTGCGCAGCTGGAGTCTAGCACTAAACCCAGACGTGGCAGAAGGGAAGCCTTGCTGAGCATCGAGCAGCACCTGGGCCTAAAAGACCCCAATGAAAGCCCTCAGTGGGGATTTTCCTGTTGGCTTCCTTAGGTTGGATGCAAATTCCTTTGGTTTGGAGAGGTGTGGGCAGATCACTACTTGTCAATGTGGGAGCAGCAGCAACACAGCACTGTACAAAGGGGTGTGCAAGGGGGAAAAGGGCTGTTCTCAGGTGCCCAGGTCCTTGGAGCTGGTGTGCTGGTCCCAGGCAAGACGACTTCAAACCTGGTGCAGACCCCTCTGGCCCAGTTGAGGATGCAACGGGGTTCTCCACAGGCTGCAGGGAGAGGAGCTCCCAGCCTTCTCTCCTCCTTCTCCTTGGGGTAACCCATCTGGCAGCCCTCCCTCACCAGGGTGTCCCTGTGCCCTGCTCCTGTGTGGCACAACTGCCAAGGATGGCTGGGAGACAGTGCCACCAGACTGCTTTCAGAGCAGAGAAGCCACAGGGGCAACAGAGAGAAGGGAGAAAGAAAATTCAGGAAGTCAAGGCCCATGCAGCTCCCAAAGGAGCAGTTTGGTCACTGCCCAAAATCCCCCTGGTGGAGGGGCTAGCTGGGCAGTGACCCCAGACAGGCTCTGTGGATGCTCTGATAATTCAGAAGAAAGAATCACGGGCTTCTTCAGTGCACCGGGATGCTGCTGCCCAGGCACACCAGGGTTGTGAGGGAGAGCACTCAGCTGTCAGACAGGCTGTGCCACACAGCATGGCATCTACGTGAAGGGACTTCTTTCACAAAGATGCATCTTGCTCTGCTCTTTCCTTGGCTTGAGCCCATCACACCATTTTGTCCTGGGTAACATGAGCTCTAATCTACAGATCACAGTGACTGGGGATGCTGCTGCCCAGGCACACCAGGGTTGTGAGGGAGAGCACTCAGCTGTCAGACAGGCTGTGCCACACAGCATGGCATCTACGTGAAGGGACTTCTTTCACAAAGATGCATCTTGCTCTGCTCTTTCCTTGGCTTGAGCCCATCACACCATTTTGTCCTGGGTAACATGAGCTCTAATCTACAGATCACAGTGACTGGGGATGGGAGAGTTGTGTAGCCCAAGGGAAAAGTAAAGGTGTTTATCTTGGTCTCCTCTGTACTGGCTGCAGCTGGTCCTGCTCAGGCTGGAGAGCCCACACCACCCAGCTCTGCCTCGCCTTGGGCTAGAGAGGACTGGGCTGGCAGTGTTGGCTCTTACCTTTACATTAAGGCGTAGAAGCAAGACATGAGCTGGGTTAGACAGGGCCTGCTTGGCTTGCAGATCCCGTTGGGATGGGGCTGCCTGGAGAGCACTGGTTTCCAGGAGAGCTGTGCTCTGACCTCCAGCTTGTGCTGCCTTCAGACAATGCTTTCTCCAGGGTATTGCTTTTGTTGAGCTGGCTCCAGAGGCTGAGGTGTGGGAGCTTGGGGCCCTGGACCATCCTCAGAGCGGGAATGAATGCTGCTTCTCCCTCCCGGGGAGCAGTGGGAGGGCAGTGTCCAGGGGGAGGGGTCTCCACGACCAGGCAGGAGGGCATGGGAGCTCTCAACGCTTATCTCAACAGGGATGTGTGGGCAGCATCTGGCAGGAGGCAATTTTTATCCTTCAATATCCTGATGCTTAAGTCTTTTGTTGGCCTCAATGTGCTGCTGTTCAGCATCTCTTATTCCCTAGATCTCCATCAATATTAGTTTTCCTAGCAACCCAACATCTCTGTTTGTTTAAAGACCTTTTTCTTTCCTGCAGATGATGTTTTGATGGTGGCTTTGTTACTGCAGTTGGTACACATACCCTCCAGTCTCACTTCTCCTCGCAGCTCCCCTTTGGCAGATGTGTCCATTGTAGAAAATATGCATATAATTATAAAGGGCACAGAACTATTTTCCTACTTCTACTTTCTGAAACACAGGAGGGGCTGTTGCCTTTCCTTATTTTTTGTTACTTGGCACAGGTGCTAATGAGAGATCTCAGCAGCAGAAGAAAAACAGTGGCTTCGAAGATGAACTTTCTGAAGTCCTTGAAAGTCAGAATGACAAGAACAAGCAGAGAGGTCAGTGTCAGTTTCTCCCCTAGGAAAACCAGGTCAAGCTGTAAACAAGGATGTTCTTTCTAACAGCCTTGATATGTCCATCTGCTTCTCATTTAGGCATCTTCTCTGATGCTGCCACTGACATGCACAAGCAACCCAGTGTTTGCTTTGTTCTTATTTACCATCTTAAACAATGTGTGATTTCTGAGCTACGGGAACTGGTGATGGTCAAGTTTCCAAACATACTGTTCTTTTCCACCCTGCTGCCAACACCATCACTCCTAATGCTTGAAATGAGTAACAGCCAGGGAAATTCTGTACTGAAAGACTCACTGATACAGGCAAGAGCCACCTGGGTCTGCTCCTGCCACCCTTGTTTCCAGGCCTCCAAGATATTAGGTTATGAGTCTCTGAAGGAAAAACTGAACTTGGGATATACGCAGTGCACACACCCACACAAAACACCTGAATCTTGGAAAAAAAACACATTCAGCTGGGATTTCCTCTTGTCACTAAGTTTCCATGGCCTGGCTACAGACAGGCAGTGTAGCAGAAAGGAGGATTTGTCCCCTTCCCTTTTCCACACCAGGAAGAGATGATGCCAATGCATGGTGAGACAGTTCCTTGTCCAGCAGCAGCACTCCCACAGAGGGGCTCGAGCAGGCTCTGGGGTGTGTGGCTGAGCCATGGCAGTGCAGCAATGCCACAGCATCAGCCCAAGCTGCCTGAAGTGATGAGGAGCAATACCTCTGGGGGCTGCTGCTGCTGCCAGCACAGCCAAGAGCCAGCAGAGCGGATGGGTGGTTCTGGCTGTCCCTCCCACCAGGGCAGGCCCAAACCTCTTACTCCAGCAGTGTGGAGACTGCATGAGGATGAAGCATGGCACACTGGGCCACCCAGGTCTGTAGGCAGCCCAGTGACACCAGCACAGTGTCACTGGGGGTCACCAGCCCTGCGTGACCAGATCTCTGCATCCCCTCAACCCAGTGCACTCCTCAGCCCTGCTTTGGCCTGTGCTCACTTTTCCATACCCATCTGACTTTTCCCACTGCTCTTTAGCTCCCCATCTCTTCCTTTGCAAAGTGATTTCTATAGCTAATTACATAAAAAGAGGCTAGTCCCTGGCATGAGCAAGAGCGAATAACAGCCCACATTGAGCTCCTGCTGAGTAGCTGCTTTGCCGAGGCAGAGCCGGCCCCAGCTCCCTCTCACTTGCCTGCAAACAGCACTGGCCCCCTCCTCAACCTGGTGGGAGCAATAAGGGTGTGATGTGCACAGCATTCAGAGCAGGTAAAGCCGTGCAAGTGCCATATTACACTCCTAAATCCTTTAATTTTACATGAGATCTGGTTTCATGTGGGGCAAGTTTGTTGCTGGCATCTCAAGAGATGGCAATGAGGACGGTGCTGCAGCAAAGCACTTTGGCATATGTTTAACTTCAGTCTTGGGAGCCTCTCCAGGAGATCAGGCACTAGTGAGAGCACCAGCTTGCGTGAACACAAGCACATGTTGAAGTGACTTGTGAAAGGATCCATGGGCTGGTTAACCAGGTTGCTGAGTGGGGCTGAAGCTCCCTAAGAAACACATGGGTTTTGCTGTTTGTGAAATGAGATCTCAGGAGAGCTGTTGCTTCTTGCTCCTCCCTCTGCAGATGCAGCAGGGGAGCACCCTGAAGAGGAGCAGCCCACAGTGTCCCTCTCTGAGTTGGCAGCACAGAAAACCCAGCAAAATGATGATTCAAGAGAGGAGGGAAAAAACAGCCTGGAGGAGAGGGAGCCCAGGCCATGGGATGATGACCCCAGAGAGAAGGAGAATCGAGAGGAAGCGAGGAGCAACGAGATCAGGGGTGCAGAAGGTGCCCAGCGAGATAAAGCTTTGGACAATCACATCAGCAAAGAGTTCAGCAAGGATGAGCGGCAGCAGCGAAAGCATGAAGAGGAGCAGCCCAGAGGCCCCAGGGACAACCTGGAGCTTGAGGACGAGGGAGAGCAAGCATCCAGGCAGGGCCAGGAGCAGAGCAAGGAGGTGGCAGGGGAGCGTGTGGAGCGGGAGGATGACAGAGGAGATGATGCTGCAGAGGAGGACCCTACTGAAGTAGAGAGGTCACTTGATTTGGCTGAAGAGGACGTGGAGGCTGAGGAGACGCAGGGAGATGACAGTACGTATCCCAGATGACTGCACTGATAGCCACCCAGGGTGAGCTGAGAGCACTAAGACAGAGGAATAAGAGGCTTTAAAGCCTAAAAGTTCAGGCAGGTGCTTACCAGGTTTACAGAAATACCCCTGCTGACAGCTACCCACACCCCCCAATGCAAGCACCCACCCACGTGGGCCAACGCACAGTGGGTAACACAGGCCCGGCAGCTGCCTCCTGCTCAGTTTTCATAGCATCCAGGGACAACTAATTTATTTTGTTTGAACTTCCTACATGGTTTTTGACTGCTGCCTCCAAGCCCTGTTACTGACATGGTGACATGAGAGTAAGTCAGGAACCCCACCCTGCATCGCCCCTGCAGGCTGGGTTCAAAGGTGGAGTGTAACCAGGTTAACACTTGTGCTCACTGTTGTGTTTAATACTCTTCCAGATAATGATGATGCTCTGGGATTTGGAAAAGATGGGCAGAGCTCTGAGGAGGAAGAGGAGGAAGAGCGACCCCGGGCACTGAGAGGAGGAAGGCATCACCTGGAGGATGAAGGGATGCAGGAGGAGGAGGAGGAGGAGGAGGACACCTTCCAGCCCAGGGATGCCAAAAGTGAAGAGTTGGAAGAGGAGTCCTCCAGGGAATGGGAAGACTCCAAGAGGTGGAATAAAATGGATGAGTTGGCCAAGCAGCTGACTTCAAAGAAGCGCATGGAAGAACATGATAGTGGGGAAGACCCAGACAGGTCCATGAAAATGGCATTCAGGTCCCACAAGTATGATTTCAATAGTCCAGAGGAAGATGTGAGAAGGTCGTGGAAGCACCACTCAAAGGAAGACAGCAGTGAAGGAGGCTTCCCGCTTGCTCCCATGCCCGAAGAAAAGAAGGACGAGGAAGGCAGTGCTAACAGGAGAACGGAGGTTGGTGTACGTAGTCTTAAGAATAAATCCCACTTGGTTATTACTTGGGAGTCCAAACTAGGCTTGGAGATGTGGATGGTACCTTGGCATTATGCAGCCAGCACTGGTTCTCTGTGACATTAATGAGATGCTTGGTGACCTTTTAGCCGTTCAGCTCTAGGTATTACTGATTTGCACCTGTCTGTGCCTTTATTTTTTCCCTTGTTTTAGTGATTAGTGCAAAAACGTTCCCTGATCCAGAGTCTTAAAAATGAGGCAGAACTTCTACACTGGTCTGTTCTGGACATGGTGACCAGCACTGTCTCTGAAGCCTGGGGTTGGGTCTTGTATCCCGGAGTCCCTCCAGGTCAAAGGGAATACTTCCCCTAGCTCAGGGACAGTGAGCAGTGTCAGAGCCTCTTACAGAGGCGAACTGGGGTGCAGCCGTGGTGAGAGAGCTGGAGCATCAGAGTAGAAATGGTTGACAAATATGTGAACACATTTGAGGCAAGCTTTCAACGTCAGAGACCTTCTCCCCTGGTACCTCATGTGATGCTATGTAGTAGCTCAGCACCTCCCTGGCAGCCAGGAGCAGTGGTTTTGCCTTTGTGCTGAGGTACAGCTCCAGGCATGGATGTTTCTTTGGGATAGAGCAGGGGGTGGGATGGTGGGGCTAGGCATGGGCTCTGCTGGTGTTTGCACTGAGATGCCTGCGTATGTAAAATAGCTTCAGGCCATGGCATAGATGCACAAGAGCTGCTATAGAAAGGCCACCAAGTGATGCACAGCTTGAATATTTAAACTGATGGCTTCCTCAGCAAGTTTTCCCAAACAGAAAAGCCTCTTCTGGTACTGAAGGTGCATGTGGACACCCAGTGCAGCGTGGGGAGAGGGGACACCGTTGTCCTCTCCATGAGCAGGGCACGTGCTGCACTTGCTGCAGCTGTCAGGCACCTGCGCCCGTCCCAGTTTGACACCATTGCCTAAACGCAGGTATCTAGTCCTGTTTGGCAGTGCCCACCCTGGCCCTGGCTCCTCAGCAGCCACCTCCCTCCAGCCCCACATTCTGGAGGGAGAGACCTACCAGGAGCTGCCCTGCCCAGCAGCAGGGCTGGGGGAGGACGGTGGCTGTGTGTCTTGCACCCGCCACCAGCTGCAGCAATTGAACGTGTGGACAGGACTAATGAGTGTTGCACACAGACATCTGTCCAGAGGGGCGAATGCAGGAGCAGGCTGAGGGGATGGGGCGCGATGCAGCTGTGCTCATGTCAGCACTGACAGCTAGCCCTGGGCAAGGCTTTCTGCAGCTCAGGGGGATGAGGGCTGCCCACCCATGGCCCCTGATGCATGCCCTGGGCTTTCTTTGCAGGACCAGGAGCTGGAGAGCCTGGCCACCATCGAGGCTGAGCTGGAACGCGTCGCGCACAAGCTGCACGAGCTGAGGCGAGGCTGAGGGTCCCAGCTTGCCCTTCACAGGCGAAAGCCGCCACTGCTGCCCTCCTCCCTCCCGACCGCGTTTTCATTTCCTGATTTAAAAGCAATTAAGCCGGAGCAGAAGCATCGTGCCTAGGAAGCCAACCTCGCTAGCACCCAGGCCTGCCGCTCTTGCCGTAGTGTTGTGTCCATCGCTGCTTCTTCACCTCACGCTCCCCTGTCCACACAGATGCCCATCTACCCGGCCGGGCACTGGTGGGCACAAAGTGTGATCTACACGTGTATTTTCTGTCTGGGTGGGGTTTTTTTTCCCTCTTTTTTTAAAAAGACAAGACAGCTTTCTAGAAAGTTCTCCTTCCACCGGTAGTTTCACTGGGTAAAAAAACTGCAATAACTTGTTATCTTTTGATTAAAAGCTGAGAACTCTGACTGTAATATATTCTATATAAAAAATTTATCTAAGGAAAAATAAAACTGCAGTGGGTTCCTTCCTTTGTTTTGGCAGCTTCAGTGTCGGTCATCAGCACGCTGCAGGGCTGGCGGAGAGGAGGGGGAATAGCAGCCTCCCCTCACCACAGACACATTGTGATGGCATTTCCCTCCTTACCCAGCTCCAGCGCTGCTGCCCGCTGAGGTCCAACATCGAGGACATCTCTTTGAGGTCCCAAGCACTGCGGGGGTCTCCCTGCTGCACAGCACAGCCCCGGCACTGCGTGTCCTGGGTGCTGCAGTGAGACATGGGTCACGTCCATAGTTCATCAATGAACATGGGGTTGACCAGAGAGAAAACAGCTGAGAAGTTTAAACACTGTGGCAATACTTGGCCAAGTCAAGCTATTTGGACAATACATGAGTGGGTAAAAAAAAACAACCAAACAAAAAACCCCAAATAGGCTAGTCAGGAGGAAACAAACTACTGGTCTGTGTTCCCCCAGAGGCAAAGACTGGTCCTGAGGGGACGTCCCTCCTGCGCCTTGGTTCGCAGGAGCTGTGGTGGCCTGCTGGCACAGTGCTGACAGGCAGAACCTTCCCCATCCTTTGGGCTTCAGGCCACACACTGGCTGGAGGTATGGGCGGTACCTGGGCTGGGGAAGCTTCCCCCAAAAATCGCTGAACACTGATCACAAGATTTTAGGCTTTCTATGTGTATCAGCAGGAGAGGAAAAAAGCATCCCACTGCCGGGGCTGTGTCCCACCTGCCAGCTCGAAGCTCAGCTGTCTCACATCACCTGCAGCCCAGACAGTGGAGATGCTCAGGGAATGGCTGCCAGGCTTTGAACTCGACATATTCCTTTATTCTGCTGAAAACGTCAGCACCATCAGCCCACGGAGTGAGTTGCACTGGAGGTGGGCACGCAGTGTCCCCTCTGCGCAGGAAGTGCTGGGTGTCCGGCGCTGTCCCCCTCCACCCACCGAGCGAGCTTCCCCAGGGAGGGTGGAGGGGCTGCCGAGCGGCAGTGCCCTCACCCCCAGCCCTGGGCAGCCTCACAGCTGCAGAAGGAGGCAGCGAGGCCGAGGCACAGCTTGAAAGCTGCCCTGGCACAGGGTGCAAGCTGGGATGAGGTGCAGGGCAAGAACCTGACTGGGGAAAGTGCACTGGGGAGAGGTGCAAGTCTCCCAACCCCAGCCTGAGGAGATCGTGCTCTCATTAAGCACAGGGAAACGCGGGTAGGAACAGAAGTGAAACCACAGCTGTTCTATGGAAACAGTATTAAAATGTCACTTATTAGAGAGTTAATCTAAAAGTTAATCTAAAAAGTTCTAAAAGCCACATTTTACTTACTGATCTTAATTTAAATTTTAATATTGTACTTTGTTTCTGTCTTTTTTGTGGCAAAGTCTCTGCCAGTAGCATCACCCATACAACCTCTTGCAAACTCAGGTCTACTTGTCACAAAATTCACAGAAACCCTCAGCCACACACCCCAACCCCAAAAAACCAAACAACCCACCTTAGAAACGCAGCCATCCCAAAGGAGTTGGGCGAGTTTTTCCACAAAGGATGGCAGCAGCAGACAGAACTTGTCTATTGCTGCTACAAAATCAACAAGAGGAAAAATAATGTTACCTGATGGAGCTACTACAAAAACCAGGACACTGTCTTAACTGGATAATCAAGGGATCACCAACATTTGGGACCCAAGGACTCTCTTCCAAGGGAAGGGTGGCATTCAAGGCCTGAGCACTGGGCCTGGGAGGACACCCTACCAGCTGGTAAATGCCGGCCCTGCGGCCGCTGCACCTCTGCTCTACCCCTGCAGGGCTTGGCCTTGGGGCCGACCCCACGCGCTGATCCCCAGGCAGCCTTCACATGAGCGCCCTTGCTGAGCGGGTTTGTTGCTTAGCAAAGTTGAATGCTGCTGGGTAAGATACCCATCTTTCCTGTGCTAGCCAAAATAGGGCCCCACTTAAAAAACCTGCTCGGTTCTGAGCAGTCAGAAATTCCCTATCCAGGAAGATAAAGGAAGAATCAGCCCAGAAGCCTCCATCAGGAATAAATTCTTAAAGTACAGCAGTAGCCTGAATCTCAGTGACGTTTAGCTGTGTTATATAGTAAGATAAAAATAGCTGACCTCCCACTAGTGTTAGAAGAGAAATAAAATCGAGTCTTGCTGGTGCAAGGAAGTCCAAAGCAACTGCAAACAACTGCACTGGGGAAGGATGTGAAAACCAAGTTCCCATGAAAATACGCTCTCCCCAGTGAGCTGCTTACCTCACTGCCCTAGCTGCTCATAAAGAGAAAGCAAAGTAGAACTTGTTATAAGGCATTTATTTCCATTATGTGTTGGAAAGGGACAATTCTGTCTTCAAAACAATTACAGAGATAATGCCACCATACCTACTGTATATTGCTTTACTGTTGAAACCAAAACATTGTCCGAAACAGGTGCTTGGCAAATGAAAAGCAAATTAATATATTAACATTGAAATCAACGCTGTCAGATGAAAGCACCATCTTCATTGTCAGATCTGATTAGTCATGCAATTGAAGTTAAGATGCCAAATAGCAAGTATTTTTGGTTTTTACAGTAAGCCATGATCTTTTAAGGGTTTATATAATTCTATACAAATTTAAGTGCAAAATGGGAATTACGTTTCTGAAATCATAGTGAACCGGGCTGAAGCAAATCACAAGACACTCTTGTTAACACTATACAGCTGGATTTGAACACAAATATTGCTGAACTTGAAAAACTTAGCACATACACAAGATGGTACCCAAGATTCAGCCATGCTTAGCTGGGGAGCAGTGCTGGAGAGTGAAGGAGAATATCCAACACTGTTCTCACCCGGAGGGCCAGTTTTCTTAAAATTGTTGGGATCCCTAGGAATTGTTGTTACTCCATTTTAAGAATGACCACATTTTAATATGTGGTTCTCACATGGGTATACACAAGCTGTATTGAATACTGAATCAGAAATAAATAATAAAAGATACATCTAATACATCTTTTATTTTTAGTTGGTTTTTTTACAGCACTGACTTTACAAGAAGATAAACAACTCATTTTTAGGGGCTGCTAACATCTGAAACAAAGAAGTCACTATTTTATACTCAACATATAGTCAACCTTTTAATAACTTTATATATGTATATATGACTTTTCACACACAAAAAATGTTAAAATAATTTATACCTAAAAACTACTGTGTAAAGAATGAAGGAGGAAATAAAAATGTGGGTTTCCTTAAAAAGGATGGAAGAGGAAGACCTGATTTTCATGAACTCCATTCACTGTTTCAACTATTTCTGGAGCTTCAAGAGATCTCCAGGCCATCAACAAAATCTTCCTAACACATCAGGAGCCCTCTGTAAACTCGAAGCACACTGGGCAAGGTCACCTGCTAATGAGCTCATGTGGCCCCCAGGCACCTGCTAGTGTCAGCCCCAGTGGATTCAGGGTAAGAAAGATGGAGAGAAAGAGGAAGCACCTCCATAGAGTGAAATTCTGGACCAGTGGTATCACGATGTCCACTGGCCAGGATTTTACTCCCAAGCCCTACCTCTCCTCACCCTCCTTCTGCATCACAGATGCAGGACATTTTCTTACAGCGGATTTTTTACTTCCACAGGAGAACTGTCCCAGCAGCAGGGATGGACCAGACCCCAACGGACACCTGCACGCACACAGTGAGAACACTTTGGAGCCATTGCTTGCTACAGAGGCTACTGTGCTTGTGTTGCTGAGGAACTGATCTAACATCTCCATTTATACCTGGATCCTCTCAAACTTCAACAATCTTTAATAATTTCTGTGGCCATGTGAACATGTCAGAATCCAAGGAGGACCTGAAACCCATCTAGTCAAAAGCTCAAGTGTTGATGGCCTGGATCCACACAGAGTGAAGAGGGAAAGGACAGGTAGTGAAGATGTGGAAAGTACTTGTCTGGAGGTTACATTCTTCTGAAATAGATATTAAAGCAATATTACAAATAAAATGAGCAATGCGATCTGCAATGGTGTGTCTGTTTATCTATGAAAGCGCAAGGAAATTATATTAAAGGAAATATTTTAATCTACACAAAAGATTTTCACATACTCTTAATTACAAAACACACAGTTGCAACACCATAAAGTAATTGTATATTGAATACAGAAATCAATACATCTCTTACTAAAAAGGAGAGAGGAAAAGAAAATTAGCAGGGTAATGCAAGTGAACTCCTGCAAGTGTGCACATGGGGAGACTGCTAAACTTATAATAGACTCTATTCACTAAAAAACGAAACAAAACAATAAAATCCAAGATTTTCTGCACAGCTGTGGAAGGCAAGGCTGGAAGCTAGTGTGAAAAAGCCTGACCCACCTGTCACTGCTGCCACGCAAAGACTTTGAGAAACCAGTGTTAGTCTAAGAACCGATAAGCCTGGATTTTTTTAGTTGGATGGAAACAACAGAAGCATTTTTCCTCTGTTTTGCACTTTTTTGCCGGCCAATTCAAACATCTCTGGCCCCATTTATTCTGTTGCCTTTGGACTGTATCCTGCCTATGTTACCTACCCACTGCTCCACCTGGTCGTTCCCTGGCTGGATACAGCCTGCAGTTACCTGGAGAACCTGAGGCTTTATCTCGAGTAATCCTTGTTACCTTGTGAAGCCTCAGGGTCGGGTTCTTAATTTGTACTCACTGATGATGAAAACAAATTACACTGGCAGTTTTCCATCTGAGTAACCTGCTGTGGACCTCCTGTGCACAAACATTCACACATTGAGGATGGAGATCTTTAAGCAGCTTTATCATTCCAACAGTCTGAATAGTACTAATAAAAATAGTGCATCCTATCTACCAACCAGCCTGGTCCATCGGCTCCTGCAGCCCAGAAGCTGAATAGTCAGAGACATGGTTAACCAAAGGCAAAACAGCATCGGCTCCGTGGCAGTTCTGCGTTACACAAACCACAAGTGTCAGCACCACTGCTCCTAGTTAGGCTGCATTTCTGCAGTTGGTTTTCACCCAATGATGGGGATGTTCTGGTACAGCCATTACAAACCCAAGCACCACGCTGCAAAGTCAGCTAGAGGGGGAGGAAGATGGTGATGGCTTTACATCGCAGGCAGTAATATCACTCCATCTCTCATCAACAGGGAAAAAACTTCACCTACTGAGGCCGATTACACAATTACAGTGGAAACCAGAGTCCCACCTCCTCCATCACACTGACACAAAACCTGGAGAAATTCCAGTCAAGCTAATGGTGTTTGTGTGGAATTCTAACAGTGAAGCAGAACAGAAATAGATCCCCAAGAAGCTAACTGGTGACCATGTGATTTTAATATAATTGCTCCCATCAACACAGAAATAATAGTTATGCCTGTGAAAACACAGCAGCTCTTTTTCTAAGCCACAATAACAGAATTCAAACAGATATTATGGAAAATCTCCCTCAGATTGTCTGCAATTTTAAAAGCATTCTGGTATGGGCATTCTGGTATGGTCTAACATTACTAGCCTCCTCTACTTTTATGAAAAAAGACGAGACTACAGAATATGAACTAACTTACTGTGAAGGTTATCTTAAATCAAAACTATCCTGAACTTACCAAACGAGGCAGCAATTCAGAAAAGCACTTTAGCACAGGCTTAATAACATACGCATGCTCGAATGCGCTGCAATAATGTAACTGTATGTCTGGATACTCGGTAATTTACAGTTTTGGCTTTTAAAAGTTGGTCTCCCACTTTGCCCCTGTGATTTAGCAACATTCTGGTATACAAGCCATAACAATAATTTCTGCAAGGAAATATAGCAATACAGCAATTGCATGGTGATTTATATGAAAACCCTATCGTAATGCCACATCACAACAGGTACCTGCATATCTGCACCTGGTAAATTAAAGTGATATCGATACATCTGATAAATAAAAAATAAATTACAGACTATGGGAAAAATGTCACTGATCACACCGATGACCTAAATTTGTTTTCTAGTTACTGCCAAGATCTGAAGTAATATTTAAATATAGTATTTCTGCAAGCCTTCAGAGACTTACAAAATAAACTTCTAACAATCATTTGTAAACAAGTTTAAAATGCACAATTATATTTCAGTAGTTTATTTTGGAGAAATAAAGCAGTGCAAAATAGGCCAACCAAAATTCAGAAGGCAGCCAGGAAAATAAAATTCTTATTTGATGTTCTAACTAGGAAACAGCATACAGACATTTCCATTGGATCAAACACTCAGATTCATGTAAACATACTTAGTTTGAAAGGTCTTGAGTTATTAACCCAGTTTTAACATCATTGCTTCTTCCCCACCACCCAATAAAAAAAACCCAAAACAACCAAAAGCAAAAAACCCCAAAACAATCCCAAGCCATTGTAATAAAGGGAGCAAAAGGCAAGTCTACAAACACTCTACCAGCTGGTTACAAGAAAGTACCATACAAAAATATGCACTGGCAAGTTCCTTCCTGAGGGTATCTTCTGTTACACATGTAACATAAAAACACTTTTTATTTTAAACAAATAAAAACAAACCTCACACTGCAGATGTCAATTTTATTTCAGTCATGGCTTTACGAAAGGCTTGGTCTATCACGAATATTTTTATAAACCCTTACCTATGTACATTTGACACACTCACACCACAACCACCCGAGACCTGCGAGCTGCAGACAACATGGGACCCAGCAGCCTCAAAGCATACAAGGGTTGTGAAGCACGCCCAGCTCAAAACTGATCTGTAATAGCCTAGGAACCTGGCTGCATTTATGTTCACCCTGGAATTTGAGAGATACCACGCTCATAAGGTCCTTCCACTCCCTACAGAAATACCTTAAAGTTAGTAACCCTTCTAGAGGTGGAATAATCTCTTCTTAAATCATCCTTGAAAATCCAGTCCCAGCTACAGGAAATTCCCAAGAATGGCATTTTGGAAAAAAGCCCAGCCTCTCTTAAGGAAAAAACATTGTTTACACAAAAGAACTGCCACACAATATTCTTGAAAACTTTTTCCCCTCCAGGACTGGTACCATCAGGTAGGGTGGTCACATCTTTTACACAGTTCATTCCTCTCTCCATGGTCTATCTGGGCTTTAAGCTCTAGATCCTTTCCTTTTAAGTAGATATCAAACACATGATACTAAACAAACTGGTATTAAATGCTGCAGTGATGGATGCTTTACAAATACCTGCTATAGGAAGACAGAAATTCCCCTATCTGCAAGCTAGGAGCTTAACTAAGGAAATTTTCTTAGCATTCTCCCCCACCCCCAAAATGCATTTTAGGGCTTATATAGGGCAGGGAAGGTCACTCTGTCTACCAAAATAGTGTCTCCATTCTCAGCGCTGACTTGGATATTTCCAGTTTAGTGTTCAGAATTGGCAAAAGTTTCAAGAGTTCTTAACAGCAGAAGATGCTGCCATACTAGAAGATGCAAGAGAGGGTGAACACTGTAGGTTATCTGTGTATCTCAAAAGGTACAATTTGTCTGCGCTGTAGTTTACAAATAGTATAAAGTACTATTGTAAATTACCACAGGGCCTCATCTGGCAGCCTGCAACAAAGTAATGTGGTCTCTAAGCTAGAGCTGTCATGTCCTTCTGTCTCATACAAAGGTACAGACTTCTGCTTAAATTCAACTTGCCAAAGAAAAAACAATGCACACTAGCATGGATCTGTGGAAGACAGCAACTGTGTTACCTCTTAGGATCCGTGGATCAGGCACTGCTCCAAGGAAAATGCACGGCTCTATTTGCGAGCCTTTTTGCAGAGCTGCCCCAGAGTCCTCACAAGAGCAATGGAGGGACAATTAAATTCTCTGCTAAGAGATGAGCTGCTTCCATTAACTCTTCTAGGATTGCACCACTAGCAGACGATTGAAAGGATGATATTTGATCTACTAAATCACTCAACCTTACTATCGGCATCCTGCCTGGATCAAACGTATTGCTGTTGGCAAGCCTGGGGAGAAGCTGTTTTTGGTGGAAGCTATGAGGCCTGGGGGAAGAACTGCAAAGCTGGAACTGGGGTGGTCACCTCAGTTCTGCACCCTGAACAAACAGACCGCTCTGTCCCACTCACAGTGCCACAGCTTCACGGCAAGCTACATGTCAACATCTTGACTGATCAATTTTTCAAGAGATCTGGTTTAGTGATACTGAAGTTATCTTAGCTTTCTTTTGCAATGGCCTACCTGGAGAAAGGGAACAGAGAATATTTTAGGCAAAAATCTCTAGCACTGTTACATTCAGACACATTTCAACATTATTATCTTCTTGATACCATGAGGTCCGATTTGAAAATGCTGGTCACCAGTGATTACAAAGAACAATAGAAATGAAAGAGCAACCCTCCCGCAATGAAAGGACTAGTGTTAAAACCCACGTGTGTGTAAACTCACTACAGATTTGCAACTGGAATCTGACAAAATGGATCTGAATCACTTTCTTGCCCTCCACTTTTCAGTCCATTTCATCAGCAAATTAGGTTAAATCTAATGGAAGGTTTTTTTTATTTTGTTTTTTTTGTGTTGTGTTTTGTGGTGTTGTTTTTTTTTTGTTTTTCATTTTTTGTAATTGTATTGTTACAGCCTGATCTGGTTCTGGGACCATAATTTGTATCCCTGTGGCTTTTTCTCAGTCCATGGCATTGGCAAGTTATTGAGAAGAAGCTTTTGTTGCCAACGTAGCGACGCAGTGCTGCTGGAAGCTGGGGGACACTGCTGAGTTGCAGCCTAGTCTCTGGTGTTGCAGTTTTACTGAGCTGTTGGTCTCGCTCTCCACAATCCAGGAGGAGTCTTTTCCCATGACGCTGAGACAGCCTGTGCTAGTGCAGCATATCCGCTCGTCCATGATCCCGCTGGTCTGCTCTGACAGGAGCTTGCTGCGGTTTAGCTGGGTCACCTCAGGTGCCTGACCCTGCAGGACAGCAGCTATGTGGTTCAGGAGATCTGTGAAGAATTCGGAAACACCCTCATAACCTGAAAAGAGCAAAAACGAAGGAGAGAAAAAAAAGGTAATTAAGTCATTTTCATAAGTTCTTTTGAAAGGCTTCTTCTACCAGTTTATTTCTTGGGCTGTCCTTGCCCTCCAAATGATAAAAAGGCTTATTTTCCGTGACATTATTTTGAGTGACTGCATGAGCAGGTTAGCATAAAGAGAAACAGAGACCATTGCTACAACAATACTTTTGTTCAAGGAGAAAAACTGTCACCTTTCAGATTTTCTGCTTCTTTTTCCTCCGAAGTATATATGTGTATACATAATTTTAGGCATACTCTATCATTTATTGCCAAGTCCAGTTTTTTTCCCTAAGTTACAAACTCTGTGGTATAATGTTGATATTTTCCACCTTGTTTCCAGGTTTACTACAGAAAGTAGCTCTAATGAAGACTCTTGAGTGTCTGGACCCTCTCTAGCATTTGCCCAGCAAGACCTTCAGTTAGGGAAGCCTCAGAGGACAGTGGGCTTGGCTTTATACCCTACAGAAAAGGCAGCTTCCCACTGTGTAAGAAGCAAGGTGGTGCTCATCTAATCCAACCTATCCTAACTTGGCACTTAAAACACGTTCCCCACTATGAGCAATGTCTGAAATAACACTTGAGGGACAGCAAACATATATCAACAATTCAGTATTTGGTACAAACACCAATCTTCTATTTCAGCACTGAAAGTACCCTTCTGCATGTTCCATTAATCAATTCCAGGCAATTTACAATGCAGAGTTTAACAACAAGCTTTGTGGCTAAAACAGCTGCTCAAATACCAGGAGACACGACATTTTTGGTGACACAAAAGTTATCCCTAGTTGTACAGAGCTTCTGACTCTATTTTAAACACTCTGGTACAAGTACAGTTTTATCATTGCATTAATTTTAAAGTTGAATCAGACATGCAATATATTAGTACAATGTCTTGAAATGGATCTTAACTGCTACTGCATTACCTAAAATTGTTATCTATTTGATTTAGTACTTGGAGATGACATATGACATTCAGTGTATTTAATGGGCTAGGCTGATTGTTTTAAAATGTCTATAAAAGTATTCTGAAAGTGGCCTGGTATTAATACAGGACACTGAAGCAATAAACAACAATTTAAAAGTCCCATGTGAATAGCACACATTCACAAAGCAGCATATGAGCAGAAGCAGAGACCACAAAGTAAATGCATGCTTTAAAACACTTTTAGTGATGTGATCACAGGGCAGAAGAGTCCCTCAGAACTATAAATAATTCAATTTTAATTTCCATTCCCCTATAAAGACCAACTTACTTCAGCAATAAAAACCTAGCTTCCTGAAAAACATAAGGTAAGAGGATAATTTCACCTTAAGATAAATGTGGTGACTGGTGTATTTATAACCCAATTATACATTGACCAATTAACGCTTATTTAGGCTGCTACATTGCTTTGGATTTTATTGCACTTGGTCACAATTCTCCTGGGTACTTAACAGGTCACACAAAACACCAGCAATGTGAGAGAACAGCTCATAGCTTTCCTTTCTCAAAGGCCCTTAAATAGATTCACAAAACAAATCAGCCATTTCAAAACATCAAGTTTCCCAGTGCCCCACATGATAATCCATCAGTCAGCAGGGGTGCAACTAGGATTCTTAGAGCCGGTCCTGGCAGCCAGAACAAGATCTCCACCTCTTTGACAGAGGTGCTTGTTATGGTTTCTTGCTTATGTAAAAGCCATGGGATTAGCCTTCAAATCTACTCAGAGTGCTTCAAACACCCCGGGAATAAGCCATCTCCATAGTAACAGCTTTAATATTCAGAGAGGAGATCCATAGTACCCTGGAGTGTTTAATGTCTGCTCACTGAAAACAAACCAGCCTTGTTTGAGGACACCTGGCACACTCACAAAGAAGTTGCTTTAAATATTTAATGGGAGTAAGGTGGCCAGTTACTCAGTCCTGAAATCAGCGGATGTTACAGCGTTAAGGAAGCTGTACCTATCAAGCAGGCTTCCTCTGTGCAAGCCCTCTGCACCCTGGGTGGAAAGGCCCAAATAATTCTGCCTGGATACTCAGAAGAAACTTCACACACTTGTAAAGAAGAAATATGAGGAAGGGAGGAAGAAAACCGGGGTGTCTCAACTCTTGAGCTACGGGATGCCTGGGGAAGACTACAAACTCTGTGGATATTGTCTCGCTCTGTTCACTCGCTGCTGCTGCAGACCTCTCAAATAAGGCAACTCTAAGACATCACTGTGCTGTGATGATAAGGAAATCAAGAAGGGCAGATTAAATCACACCTTTAGAAACTACTGGCAATGAATTCGGGGTTCACATCACACAAGGAATCAGTGGAATGATGTAAGTTTTTCATGCTTCACAAGCTGCAGGAATCGTGCTCCAGCAGGTACTGTCCCAGCACTGCCCACTGAAACCATTTTGGAAGTGCCAGTCTACAAGAGGCCTGAATTTTGCTATGTTGAAAACAGTCTTCAGGGTCCTCTGGCTGAGCATAGATAGGAAGGAAGTCCACCCAGAAATGCATCTGATAACAAGTACCTACTCCCCTGAGATTTGCAGAGTCAAGAAAAGCATATGAGCACTTTTTAAGCTAGCTTTAGAGAGGCTACCTGCCTGAGTTTTAGGAGACTCTCCCTGATCTGGCATGCTCCTTGCTCTTCTCCATCTTCCCTTGAGCAGAGAGAAACGGATAGCCCATGTCCTGCATTTGCAGCAGGATATTTACAAACGTGTCCAGATCTGATGCTTCCAGCTGCCACTTATATGCACACAGAACCAGCAGTTCACCTGCACTGGTGACAGGCTGCAGAACATGCGCTCAAGCTGCTGCTCAGGCTGGGGGAGCTCAGCCATGGCCACAGGACAGCAGGCTATGCAGAGCCTTTTCTCTCAGTTACCTGAGGTCAGACAAACATAAAACCCACAAGCTACGTGACAGTGCCTACAGTTCAATATCTCAGCTGGTAACCGCAGCTAAATATAGTCCTGATGGCTTCCTATAGAACAGGAGACACAACAGACCTTTAGATATTTATCTTTAAAATGTTTTCAAAGAGTTGCTGGTGCTAATGGAGCAGATAAAAGACAACATCCTCCTACAGGTACATCTGCTCTTAATTCTGACATTAATCTCAAGATGACATCCACAGAGTGGCAGGTTCATATGAGCTTCAAGCCTGGCAAACATAAAAGACAGTACACAAGGAAGCCAAACCTCCGGGCAGTTGAACAAGGCTTTGGTCAGGCCTGGCCCCAAGCCGTAGTGTGAGCTCCATGAAAGAGTCTGTGAATGCTCCTTAAAGGGCACCTCTTCCCCTCCCTTCCCCAAAGCAGTGGTGCAGAGATAATGCAGCAGGTTCCCGATGTGTCTAACTTGGCTCCAGCTTGGCTCCACTGCAACCCTTGCAGGACAGGATGACTTGAGGAAGAGAATCAAGGGCAAGCCCCTTCCTGGGACTGCACTGAGCCAGGGACAGTGAGATCCCACGGCTGATGCAGCCCATCAGTGACTTTTTTGAGCAGGGCCGAATGTGAACTTATCATTAGCAAGGTGCTTGCTCCATTCATGAAGCCAGCCCTTGAAGCTGCTGGCTCCATCCATGAAGCCAGCCCTTGAAGATGCTCAGCCTTTAATCACACTGGCCCTTGGAGGGAAGTGCAGCTGCCTAGGCTGAACATGCTTTTGGGCAACAGAGTATGCTGTGTTGAGATGCAACTTTTCTGTTGTATTTTACCTCATTGCTTCTTCTGACATCAGTAGCCCTTGAGAGCAGCTCATCTCTCTCAGTTCTGCTACTGCTTACAAATTTGAAGGTTGTTTTGTCTACCCCTAGCCTTCTCTCTTCCATTTGTCTGGTCTCTGCACTATCCTTTAGACTTTCTCCAACTGGTCTTCAACCTATCCCATGGTAATAAAGCCAGTAGCTACCTTCACTACCCACATGTTCACCACCAAAAAAAAACTTTTGTGAGGCACAATGTAGACCTGTGCATAAGAAGCTTCCCCATGCTCTCAAACCCCCTGCACATACTAAAACACTGTATTAATTCAATGTCTCTTCAAATACCAATTACTGTGTAGATTGAAACACAGGACTTCGGCTGAATATGAAAAAACTATTGCCTTAGAGTAGAAGCACAGCAGAGCGTGAGGCTGAAGGCAGTTCTACAAACTTCTGCCACAACAATAAGACATTACTCCTCTTTAAATAGTTAAGTTTGCCACTAGTTGTTCCCCAATCTGGACTTTTCCACATTTCAAGAAAAGGGGAACTTCAATCGGTGCAAAGTACTAAATCCGAAACAATACTTGAAAAAACCAAAAAACTCAAACGAACAAACTAAAATGCAGGATGCAGGATTGCAAAAGAATGTCTGTCCTGCATCACTGACTTCCAAGACCCAGTGTCTGAAATACAATCACATTCATAAAACTGATATGGTTCCATCTGACAGTCACTTTAGGTTGTTTTACTGCTCTTGGCAGAAGATTGTTTCTGTAGGTCTGCAGATTGCATCAACGCCATATGGCAGAACCAAGCTGCAAAGTGACCTGGGAATAGCAGGGCTGGAGTTTTGAAAGGAAGCCAGTCACTGTGGAGATAGACAGGCGAGGCACTACACGGCAGTAGTGGGACTGAGGACCTGGACTGAAAGATTAAGACGACTCAGGGCTCAGGGCAAGATCTCTAGATGTAAAGACACCTCAGCCACATGAAAACTCCAAGTCTTCAATGACAGGTTAAGCAAACAGCCTGAGCATGTCTCTGGAAACAAACATCTCTATTCAGCTAATGAGAGCAGATTCTCAAAGAGAAAAAATCTCATGCAAAACAGCATCAAATAAGATGATGTATTCTTTTCCTGTGTAGGGCCACTGAATTTAGCACCAGTGACAGATCATTATTGCCTCCCATTATACAACCTTACAACTCCTTTTAACAATTCTAGTGGTCAAGGAGCTTGTTTAGTTGGTTCCAAGATATATGTTGCACTAAAAAAACTGGAGGGCAAATTATACCCATTTCCACATGTTCTATCCTATTTTTACTCCAGGATCCACTTATGAGAATCTGCAAGGATATTAAACTCTTATACAGCAACTTCTGTGAACCTACAATTTTCCCATCTTCTTCAGTTTCCTGGTGGTGCTGCTTTTGTGCACAAAATGTCTTTTCATGGGGAATCAGTTTTAACAGGAAGAGATTTTCAAGGGAACAGTTTGCTGCTTCCACCCCCTCAAGACTTTTAATGGCACAGAGTCTAGAAAAAAATAAATCTTAAAAGGTTGTCCTAAAATAGAACTTATTATTCTTCTTTTCATCTTCAGAATGAGGGACAGGCCTAGAAAGGCCCGGTCCCAGCACACAGTCCCACGCTTCAGTTCCTGGGCATCCCTTTGCAGGGAAGGGCATGACAGCCATGTAACAGCTGGCCACTAAAATCTGACCGTATCTCCCAAAAGCTAATATTTCACTAACACGCTCCATATCTAGATTAGGCTTCTGCCCTTCCCACATAAAACAGTATCTGATCTCAGAACAATTTTGCTGCTGCTCTCCTGTCCCCCGTCTCAGAAGCAATGTTGTGAGACACCAGCAGTAAAACTTCACACTAAGAACGCAATGCATGGTTTCTACAAAGCATGAGTGGAAAGGCCTTTCTCACCTGGGAATGCATTTATATCAATGACTGCATGCTGCCCAGTCTGATTGTTAATGATGATATCAATTCCAAAGAGGGAAACTCCCAGAGCTTGCCGCAGCGCCTTAGAGATTTCCCGGATGACGTCGTCATTTGGCCGCTCAAATACTCCTTCGATTTTATCCAGCTATAGTGGAAAAAGACACATTACTAAGGGACTCCAAACCAGTCTTTTTAGTGGAAAGGTTAATTTTCAGAGGTTTCCAGGTGCATATCCACCAAATCTAATTGCAAAGAACCGGTGGCATGAAACAGAGAAAGACACCAAAGAGAAACTGCTTTCATAATTCAGAATCCTACCTATACTGGGAAGTTCACCTGCTCTAAAGCACCTAGTTCTTACTCTTCATACTGTTGCTGCTCCTCAAGAGACACAGCAATATAGGAATGAACAGAGAATCAGACTCACTATTTTAAGCACTAGGTCTACACCTTAAAAAACCAAATCCAGCTGGTGTGTTTAACCCTGTGCTGCAAATATTCTGGATATCATTCCGCTATATCAAAGATTAAGGCCTGTGTTAAAGAACTGATAAGCCAGACTCCTGCTGTCAGTTTCATTTGAGCCATACAACCCAACTCAGCTGATATCTTCAGGGCAGAGGCTAATTCAAAGGGGATATCTTTTATGGGAGTTTTCACTTATCAATTATACTACAAATATTTATTAGGATGAAAAACTCAAGGTTATTTATGGAATAAATAACTGGAAGATGCAATTTTTTAAAACTTTTTAAACAACAGGTTATGCAGCACGAGTACACCGTTATGCCTACAGGAGTGTGTGTGGAGTACGTATGTGTGCGAGAGAGATGGCAGGTAAACCACAGGAGCGTATAAGTGAAAGTACATTCAGCCATAAAGAGATTTATGACGAGCACAATTACAGCTTTAATATTTAGCATGCCCATCAGTGTTGCACAAAAATTTAATCATTGCTGACTATGAAACTATTCCCCAATAGAGCTTGTGAAACAGAAAAGAATCTGGAGGCTCAGAGATTGAAAGGACTCAGTCCTGTAAAGCGACTTTCACAGCAGCTGAGTGTCTGAGAACTTCTTAATTTTTACACATGCAAAGCTTATTAAAAGGACTGGTAATGCAAGCATGGAACTGTGCAGTGTGCTGGCACTGCTGGACTCGGACACCCAGAAACGGTCCCCTGGTCACAGCGCAGACAGCTACTGGCCCTCTGTGGTGGCCCTGCCCAATGCAATTTCTCTGCTTGAATTTTCACCATTTGTCTTTCCTCACAGAACTGAGTCCTAGAAGGATGATTTATGTTTATTAAGCTCTCTGGACAGGAAAAGGCCAGGTATTTGCATTCAGCACCTCCTTCTTCCCCTTGCCTAGATTAGCCCTGGGGAGCTCAGGCCTGGCAAGCAGCACAGGTCTGCTGCTGCATCAGTGCTTCCTCACCGGAGCTCGGTAAGGAAAACCAGGGGGGGACACAGTCATGCTGGTTCGTTGTACCAAACAGACCTCAGCCTGCAACACAGAAGCAGACAACTTGTGAAGGAGAGTCACTAGCCGCTAATGCTTCGATAAGAAAGGATTAGATAGTTTTCCAGCCGCGCTAGAGGAAAAAAGACCAAGTGTACTTACTGCTGTCAAGACAGATGAGGATTCCGGCTTTGAAACATTGTGGCTGTTGAAAAATATTGATTCTCTGTCTGGAATTAAAAGCAGGTTGTAAATAACTTTATACCAGATTTTAATTTGCAAAGGATTAGTGCAAGGAACAGTAGATGGCACTGCAGCCCGAGGAATCTCCTCCTGGTCCCCACCGGGCAGTCCCTGCCACCCACCCGCCCGCCAGCCCCTTCCCCCTGGCACTCAGCCACCACACAGGGCAGGGACCCCTTGCCGGGTCACCTGCCATTTTCAGACCTGGGACCACAGACAAATGGAACTGCACAGGGTTAACAGAAACCGGTTTTCTTACCTTCACCAGAGCTAATTAACTAAATTCAGTAAGACACTGAAGTTAATTTCTAGTAATCTGCTATACTCAAAGTGACAGTTCCAATAGGAAGGCATGTGACAGAAGGGAGAAGCTGCATTCACTGCAGCACCCAGGTACACCGAGACCCCTGTGAACCTGGGGAGGGCACTGCCACCACGGAGGAAAGCAGGAAATGCCATGGTCAGGACCTGCTCTCCCTTTGGAGGCACCATAGGAATGCAAAAGCCATCCTGAGGTGACAGGAGCCACTACCATACTGCAGTGGAAACCATGAGGAGAATTGTACCAGCACCTCCTGTCCCACTCCCTCTGTGCTGGGGGTTTTACTGGTGGGGAAAAATCCACCACAAGAAGTCTCCCATTGGGATTCCAACCACAGCAGATTGATGGCATTGTACAGACAAACCACATAGGAACATCTGGACCAAAGTGTCAGCACCCAAGTGGCACCAGCAATAGAGTATTTCTGCTCTGCTGGTCTCTCTGAGGGGACATTTAAGAGCAGCCTCAGGGTCGCATACAATAAAGATGGGGGAGCTGTGAAAAGCAAACCCAAATCCACTCCACAGTCTGGCACCACCATATACTGTTCTTGCCTTTCCTCCCATTGAGAAAGACCCTGTACGTTCAGACAGTCAGCTCCTGGGGTGCCTCACAGCTGCCAGATCTGCTTAATTGTCAGATCTGCCTAGTCAGGTGTCTGTAGCACAGGCCCCTTAAACTCTCCTGCTGAGGGTGAGAAAGCCAGACACTTACCCTGATCTGCCCACGAAACTTATTTTTATGTGGGCTTCCAGACAACTTTCAAGTCTTACACCAATAGATAAGACATTAGCTAAGGCATTTTTAGAAAGATGTCTTAAAAAGTTCTCTTCCAGAAAAAGTACAGATCAACTGTCCTAATAGTTCATATGAACACAAATTCTGTCCCACTTAATTTGATCAGGACATAGAGCAGACTTAAATGTAAATACAGGCTACATATCTACAGACAACGACTTTTACTGGGATCCTACTATACCCATACTAGCAAAATACCTATTTGTGTGCAGAATGCAATGGTGAGCACACATGGACATGCTAAGATCAGCAGAAAACCACTAAGAAAACTAACAAGAAATTGGCACTTGTTAACTCATCTGCTTTAGTTTGATACCTTTTCTCCTCCCATGCCCAACTCCTGGATTTTTCCAGTTGCAGGCAGATCATGTTCCCATCCATGCCCTGCTAATTCCTTCTTGCTTCAAGTACTGCTGCCTAGTGACATATAGGAAGACTACTGTCCTCATTGGCAAATCCATTCCTCCCTCCCTTCAACACAACTGGTATCTACAAACCAAAGGACATTTCCTACCGAGGTTTACAACACTGGGCCTCACATGAACAGAGAGGCTCGTTCAGGGGAGAGCACAAGTGATCTTTAAACACACATACACAATCAAGGTAAAAATAGGGAGAGGAAGTTCTGAAACGATGAAATCCAGGAAATTCTCTCCAAAGCACATTTATAAACAAACTCCGGAACAAATGACACATGAACTTACTGTGAAATTAGAGAATTTCTCTCCCTCTCCTCCTTTCCACATGACATAAAACACTGTTTCTACCAGGTAAGACTCAAGTTACCATTGCATAAATATTTACTATATGAATGTTATTTGTATGTATTCCAGAGCAGATGAGTTATCTCCCTTCCTATTGAAATAATACAGTAGAGGAAACATGGTATGTAAGAACCAGCTGCCTTCCCTTCAGCAGCCTTTTTGAATATATTTTTCTTTTGAGTTGTCTGCTGCCAAGGCTCCAAGAACTGACATTTCCTTGTAAATCAGTACAACATACCTGAGATTCCCGCAGAGAAGTTCTTTAAAGATGGTCTTTTCACCACTGTGTAGGATTCCCCAACCACGAAGACTTTATACAGCACGGCATTGTGATTGATGAAGCTCTGAATGACGCAAGGAGGGCGGACAGCTTTCAGGCCCTCCTGGTTGAAGATGATCGCCATCTGGAAACAGGCACACACGGTTGTGCACAAGTGTTCCAATAATTTCAAGCTTACCCATCACCTGACTAGCAGTGAGGGGGAACACCTACTGCTGGATATATATTGACCACATGTTAATTCCTTCTCAGCAGTTAGTCCTAGTTCATTATGTTTTATTTCACTGACACACAACTTTCCAACACTGCTGGCAGTGCAGCTTTCATTTTCAATTAACATTTTCTTCTCAGCTCTTTGCAATTTCATTTACTGCTTTTAGTTGGGAAGCTACTGCAACTGCAGGTGCACCAAAGGGTAAAACAATGGACCAACATAGATTACAAAGTTTGTATTGAATACAAGCACATATCATGAGAACAACAGAAGGAACAGCTCCATGTACTAACTATAAGAGTTCTTCCCCACAGCTCTGTTTCCTGTGGTTTGGTTTAGTCCAGTTGCAATGGCCTAAGCATCAGGGCTACACCCATATCATCAGAGAACTTTTTTCAGACTCTGGTAGTTCTTACTGCTAACAAATGCTGGCCTAATTATTTTCTTGGCTTGGTTTCACTCCATTGCTCCAAATGGACAGTCTTCTTGAAGGGACTGGAACAAATATGCCAAAAAGGAAGGCATTTACAGGGCCTGAATGATGAACAGCTGCCTCCCACAGCATGGAAGCGATGCTGATAGGTGCAGAGAAGTACTTTGATGAGCCAGTATATATTCAGAACATGCTACGTGGCTCTTTCCATCGATCCCTCCATTACCATGCTTGCATGCATATGTAATTATCCTAACTGCAGTGCCCCATTTTGTAGGTTTGTTGTTGGAGTATGGATGCTGCCATGGCTCCTACACAGAACCAGCAGCAAGCACCATTCTGGCACAGATGATGGAATTACTTTATACCAGTGTGCTCCTACACAGCAGTGAGGATAAACTTAGGTTTGCTCTCCATCCTCAAGGCCTTGGAAAAGCTACACTCTAGCTATCTGAATATTGACCTCTCTTCATTACTCCAGTGATGCTGGGCCCTGTCATCCAGGGTGGCAGAAGGGCATGTTGGTAGTCAGGTGAACAGGAGTAAGGACTGCTCAAGGTCAGAGAACATGGCATATGTTTTATCTTCCTTTCCTCTGGGCAAAAGGTAGGGGTGCTTTGGTAAGAGCACCTTCCCCCTCTGAAGAGCCTTGAAGAAAACAGCTAACCATCCACATCTTGAGCCTACCACCTACCTCAGTCAGGGTAGGATGCACAACACTTGCCAGAAAAGTTCCTAAGCATTGAAACACAAGTTTTTTCTTATGCCTGTTAATATTTTCTCACTGGCCTGCTTGGGCCTAGTGTTTTACTTGGGATGCAAGACAGTCCAGAGAAGCTAAGAGAATTCCTGTGGGTCCCACAGTGACTCCACAGCAATATACAGAATAAAACTGGAGCTTCCTGCCTCAGTATGGTGTGGATGAGTTATACTGCTTGCTCACTCTTACCATATGCTTCCTGTCAGTTTTTGTGCTTTCCGAGATTAGCTGTATCTTAATGAAGTCAGGGTCACTGGAAGGATTTTACAAAGAAACTTTACCACTTTGCACTCTCTCTCATACATTATATACGACCAGCTGCTCATTTGATGTACGTTGTATTTTCAGACTGAATTTTTGCTAACAACTTATTTTGTTCCTGTAACAAAAATAGTAAAAATAATAGGATTTGCTGTTCAAAAACATAGCCATGGTAAATTATGTAGTGATTACACGTTCACAGTTAAAAGTCTGAGCATATTTTTGTCCTTATTCCTCCTTATCTGGTAGACCACATCAGATCACATAATTGTCTGTATGCATGCACAATGACTCAGTAGGTAAACATTTTCAGAGTTCAAGTCAATGCGTGCATTCAATACCTACTTGCAACTGATATTCTTACTCTGCCTCTATTACACTAGATGCTATCTATCTGACAGAACAGAGCGAATTTGTGAGTGGTAACAACCTGTGCAAGAAACCTACTCTAACCAGCAGAATCGTCCATCAAAATGATTCACAGCAACAACAACATCATACCTCATATGTCTCTCACTGCTTGCAACAAACACTGCTCTCTTCCTCCTCCTGTATAGACTGCTGGCATTATAGCATCTACATCATCATACTGGCAAGAACTGTGCTGTTCTTACACTGTTCTCTTCAAATATTAGTTAATTAATCCCCACAAACCACTCCTTCATAAGAGGAGCAGGTACTTATCCTATTTTAGAAGTGCAGAAACCCAGAGCATTTATCTTCTGGGCACTGAACTGACCCAGGCTACTGGAAACCATGTGAAACTTCTCTTCTGCAAAGCTCTGTGCCAACAGCCCCATGGACTTGCACACAAGCCGTATAACTCCCATGGTGTTGTGTTATGCTGGCTCGCTGCAATGTCTCATGGTTTTTAGCATGCATTAATACAGCTTCAAGAGTTCGCTTGCAGCGTGCACTTGCTCTTTGTCATCCAGTACAGACCTGCTGTGTCTGGCAACAACATGGGAACAATACTTTATATCGTAATTTCCAAGCAGCATTCCTCATTATAAATGCAGAGCTCTTTTGAAGGCGAAACAGAACGTTTAGCACCAAGACTTTTTACTGACAATGTCCTTAAGGAATTCAGTCTCAAAATACAGTGATTCTCTGCCTTTTCTTTCCTGTCTACTCAACACTTATAAAAAGAGTCATTCTGGACACATTTCTTCAGGTTACGGGTCTCAGTGATGTCTCATGGCAGCTTTACCAAAGGTCAGTTATATTCTGACCTGTTGGCAGCTGGGAAGGACAACGTTCAGGCATCATCCCTGTTCAAGTCTAACAAACAGTGTTGGCAAAGTGGGGTTCAAGTGCTGAGCTGGCTGACATGACTTCTAGTGCAGAGGGCATGTAGAACTGTGGGACACCACAAGGAGACTAACAGCGTCTGGCTTAACTAGTTCATGTCTTCACAGCAAAATGCAGACTCTGCCAGCCTTGGCTGGACCCAAACCCAAACTCAACCCTGCACCCTCAGCTGTCCCTGTTAGCCAGTACTTGAACTTTCTAAACAGTCATCTCATGAAGAAAAGCAGGTTTCTGGTCGGGCTGTGTTCTAGTTCCAGTGTCAACTCTGCAGTGGAAACACCTCTACAGAAAATGAAACAATTTACCAAAAGCTGAAGAAGGAGTCATTAATAAAACAGGCAACAATTTCTTGCTTCTAGATCTATGCTCCATCTTTTAGATAGACTGTACTGTAAGCAGAGTATTTATTATACGCTTCCCTTGCCATTATTGACCATAAAATAGCAATTACAAGACAGTTCTCTGATCATATGTACACTTTTGGATCACTCCTGAGAACTCAGCAACTCCAAAAATGACTACTGCTACTACTACTATGTAAAGTACCACACAAGACTTCAAGCTTTTTTCCAGAGGTTCTCCTAGGCTCTACTCATAGGTTCCTGTGATAAAGTGCAGCCTAAAACTGTATTTTAGTCTAATTTTTTCCCAGAAAATTGAATCCTGGCAGGAGGTTGAGGTATGTCTGCAATGTATGAAAGCACAGCAAAGAATGATTCACCAGGGAAACGAAGTCTAAGCCTGACTGGGCAAGCACTGAAAGGTTCATGCATTTCAGGCTGCAGTTGCAGAGGAACCTTCTACAGAAAAATCAACAGGGAAGTGGGAGTTTTAAATTATTCACAACCCAGTCCCCAAGCGTTCTCAGGAGTGACAGCAAAAATTTATAGCGGCTGCTCCGGTAAACTAACAGGATTGTCTGTCATGTTTGTCAAATGATCCGAGCTAAGGCCTGCATGAAAAATCCAGCTGCATTTTTAAAAGAAAGTGTTGGTCACTCAAGATTTCAGCTGAGGCACTCTGCTTGTCTAGATTTACATTTTACTCCAGGGTCTTCACCTCTCAGAGACGCTGCAGCAACATACTGCACATTTCAGGAGCAGCTGGGAAACCTGGACCAATGACCATGTTGTTAACAAAGGAAGCCAGGCACTACAAGAGCCAGCAGCAAGGGCTGGATTCTCAAAACTGAGCTGTGGTAAGCAGGAAGGCAGGAAGCACAAATGGAAAAGAATTAAAACAGGACTCAGTTCACCTAAATTTAGAGGAAGCTAGGCTCACTCCTTCCAGGAATACACAACCATTTTAACTGCAATTGCATTACAGGAAAGAGGGAAAGCAGATAGTTCTACCAGCCCTGTTCTTCCCACAGCTCCAGCCATGTTATTACAACTGAACATGCCTAGAAACTGTCTCTATTTGCTACTCCCTTCCCCACAAGAAGAACCAGCTGGCCTTCACTCATACTTCTGCTTCATCTGCAGCACGAAATAATTTCTCACCTGTATCACATACATGCTGGAAAAGAAACATGGTGGGGTGGAAACATCACTTAGTGTGACCTCCCACCAAAGAAGAATCTGAATGAGTTTCCTTGCAGACAGAGCTGAGTGGAGACTACAAACTGCTAGAAGCAATTAGATGATAGCAGCTAGAAACTGCTAGAAAGAACTTCTATGTCAAGAGGTTAAAGTAATATTTAACTTCATTTCAGAAAAATCTGGAAAAATAATGATGGAATTAAACAAAAGAGAGTGGCGGGGGAAGGGAAGTCGTTTGGGCATAGCCCTCATTCTGCCTGCTACAGGATTGGAAAGCATCAGCCAAACCACCATGGGGGACTGGAAGCAGGAGGGTAAAACTGCAAAAGTTTTTTAACTCACCTCGTGAGAGTTGGTTCCATGGGCCACTCTGGTTTTACAAACTAGGTAAATAAAAAAAGAAACAAACAATGCACCAGTGAAACAGGACACACAAAACCCTATAAATCCATTCCCACCCACACATGCAGACACTGGAGTTCACCAAACCAAGGCATCGATTGTACCAGATATCAGTGAGAGTCTCTGCTTGAACAGTGCCCCCAGTCACTGCTATCACTTGGCTTGCTCCAAACCCTGCTCTTTCAACTCCTCCCTATAACTAAGCTGCAAGCAGAGGTCATTATTAGGACTGGACAGACGTGCAAAGCATCAGCTAAGAAGTTAGTACCAATATTGCCAGCCAGCCTACTCAGAGGGTATCTTCACAAGTATGTGATTTTGCCTGAGGCTGGAGCTACTTTATGGGTACCACAAAACACCGCTGTCCTGAAAAGAGGGAACTGGGACACAGTGGAAACCAACCTCTTCCTACCTCCCTGGTTTTGGGGAAGAGGAGGAAACCAAATTGGCTGAACCAAACTAAGATACAACATATTTTTCAGAGGCAACCACAGAGGGGGACAAAAAAACTAGAAAGAGCCCAGCAGTTCTTTCTCCTTCATATTCCTTATTTGTTCTATATATCCTGGTTCTCATCTCCATCCTAAAACCAGTGAGAAGTAAGAAAAAACATGCTCCTGCTATCATGAAACCAGAGAAGAGCTGAAGACCTTGGGACCCACCCAATGACTACAGCTGGTGTTATTTGTATGTTAAGCAAAGGAGATGAAAACTTGCAAGTAGTGAGGGAGTGGGTAGGACAAGACTTCTTTGGGGGTTGTTGGAAGTCAAATTGTCAGGGAAGAGGACAGGCAGCTATGAAAGGCAGATGACCTGCACTAGAGTCCAAAGTAAGTTGGTAATTTTAAATTTTGGAAAGTGGTATATGATGTCTCACAGACATATGCTCTGGAGAGCAGAAGCAGGTTTTTTTTGTTAGGTTGGGGATTTTTGGCTGTTTGTTTGGGGTTGAGAGAGAGAAGACAGAAAAAGCACTCCTACAATACCATGTTATATTGATTTTTAATGTTACTTTGTAATTTCATCAACATTTAGAGAGGTTGATTCAGGCCTTCTGAATATAGGGGCTACGCTACTGACTGGTGAGCACTAGCCAGCCTGTACTGAGAAGACAACGTGCACGGGTGAGGAAGGGAGGTCAAAGCCATTCAGTGGGCTTTAAATTACTGCTTCACAATCTAGCTTCAGGAGACCTGCCTCATTTGGGAGAGCGATGGCAGGGAGGGAAAAACATGCTTTTTCCACATGATTTTACCTCTGAACTTTACAAATGAGGCAAGCACCAAGGGAACAAACGCCGACTAACCAATTCTGCTCACTTTATACTGCAAGGAATCAAATAAAGGAATGAATTAAAGCACAAGGCCCTCAACGAAACTTACTACAAAGCACAAACAGTTCATAGCAGCTGTAGGCCCTTGGAGCCTGCTATCTATGGTGATTTTTACACTTTCTTCTACCCTCTAAGATTATATTTGTAGCCTGGGCCAGGGAATGGGAGGGATGGGTGAAAAAAGGCAGCAGTCAGCAAGGCAGTGGTTTTCTCAAGAAAAAGAATTAATGCAGCTGGCAGAAAAAACTTCTTGCACAAGTTCAGGGCAAGAGGCTAACTTTGTTAGAAATACTAGCATTTCCCAGGAACACGCTTACTGTAGCGAGGTGTTTAAAAAGTAAGGAACACCAATAAAAGGCAAAGTAAAAGCTGATAGGGAGAGGTTTTGTTCCACATTCCAAGCAGGCTACTTCAGAGCATATGTTTTAGGAAGGTTTTAACATCCCTGTCACTTTGGTAATAAAACTCACACTCCTACAGTGTTGGCTACGTCTTGGGGGGTGCATGTGCAATATTCGGAACCTACCAGAAGCACCAAGGAAAAGCCCATGTACATACTGAATGGGAATGCCAGTCCATTCTTCTCTATAAGCTGCAAGGTATCTTCTCCACAGGCACTTGTCAGCTCCATAAAGGGTGGTGAACAGATCCTCTCATCTGCAAGACAAAAAGAAGACTCACATAGAGACGAGGGGTTTAGCTTCTCAGCTGCATCATTACCAGCTCTCTCCATACTAACTGCTTCTTGATAGTCAGCTTTACTTCAACAGTTGATATTAAAGCACTGGGAAGATTACCAGCCAGGCCTGAATTTGGGTTTCTGGAAACACTTCAGAAGATGAAAGGCCCAATTTTCAGATAATCTAAATGGAAATATAAGGCCCATATTTTCACAGTTAGGCAGCAAAAACGATCACCTGCTTAGGAATATGTCACAAGACTCAGTGAGGTGAAAAGCAATTGGGATCTTAGGTCTTAACATTATGCCTTCAAGCATAATTTTCTAAAGCATTTTAGAAAAACCTGAATGGTCAGCAAGTGTGGCTGGAGTAGGCAGTCTCACAAAGCCATCACTACTGTAGGGCATCTCAGGTGGCAGATTCCAGTGTGGATTTACTTCAGCCAAGCTGCCAGCCACGTAATACATCCCACTGTCCATTGGGACCTCTCTGCCACAAAACCAGTGCTCATTTGGTCTGGCAAAGCCAGTCAGAGCACCGCTAAGACACTGAGACACCTTGGCAAGACTGCTCAGTGGACGTTGGTTAAAGAGAAAAAACACAGGAAACCATGGTAAAATTTAACAGAGTATGTCTGCTTCAGGGTGTTTCTGCTGATGTTGTGCCTGTTCACATGGGGTTGTGGGAAGGCTGGAGTCAAAACCCAGCCCTCTCAGTGACTCAGTAGCTTGAATTGCTCTAGGATTCACATCCTGTTCACTGTAGGAGAACTTTTATCCCTCTAGGAATGCAGCAGGAAAGAGTTAAAGCACTGTAGAACTCAAAGCACTTGAGCATAAATTTGCACCACTTGAGAGCGCTGGGTTGCAATTTCAACTGCTCCAGCCATGGCTCTGGAGCAGGTCAGCAGGCCCAAAGACTTTCAGGCAAAAGCTGCATGCACATTGACTAAGTCAAAGCAAGAACATCACCCACGTAAGAGCAACTGTCCAACGTAAATCCTCAATGAGCACAGTGTTAAAAGAAAGGACTGCCATGGAGTTTGAGCTATGGCCAGGTTAACTTTGGAGTTTGAAATGAGTTATAACTTGAGTTAGCTGTGCAGTACTGAACTGCAATTCAGAATGTGTCTCTGAAAACTCACTTCTAAGGCTTATTTCAAGTGAAACAGTGTGATACCCTCCTCCAAGAAGCAACTGGAGATCAGCACAAATAATGGGAGCAACTATATCTGGTAAACTCAAGTCATAGGTTTACATTAACCAACGACTTGTCTTGAACATAAGCAAAACATGACTGTTACATCTATCCCAGTGAGCACAGAGAATCCAAACAGGGGGAGGCTATGCTGTACAGATGGTGCAGAAGCTGAAAAGTACACGTAAACTAAAACCTCAGCAAAACTATCTGTATCTTCTGAGAGACATAAGCCCAGAAACCACTTTATAAGCATTGTCTAGATTAATGCTTTTCACTTCATTGTATGTATACGTTTATGCACGTTTCCTCACACAGAAGAGAAAGTTGAATCACTGAAAATAAGAGAGGCAAAACTCTGAATTTTGGTATACATATCTCAATACATGCTTCAATGCTCCGCGCATATCTGAGAACTCTAGCCATTAGCAATACTGCTGCTACAAAAAGTTTTCTGTGAAAAGAAAAGACTACATTCACACATCCTAAAAGTAGTAGAAAGATTTGATGCTTCCAGGTCAACCTCTACAAAGCTAAACAAAACAGCCAAGACTTCAAAGGTTTCAGTTCACTGCTATGAAAACAGAAAGCAGCATCCAAAAGTGACAGGTACTGTAATATTTACAAGCCTTTGCCAGAGCAAAAGTTCCTTAGTTGGATGAATTTAAGGAATCAGATTTAGTTTACAGATACTTGGTAACAACTTTGGCTTGGCAGCTCTCCCACCCATATGCTTAAGGCTCACAAATAACTTTGCCTTCAGAGTGCAGATGCAGAGGGACGTATGGTTCCATCTCACTTCCCTCCCTTTCTCTCCCATGCAAACAGGAACAGGAGACAAGGAGGATTCAGCGTTCCTGCCAATTACATGACACTTGCATGGGGAGCTGAAAGAAGGGGCACAGTGATTTCTTTGAGTTTGTACTTAGAAAAGAGCACCTGGATCAACAAAAATTAGCAGAGAAGACTCTTAGCATCTCAAAGTGCTCCTGCTGACTTTGCACAGCACTAGCATTTTCTCCACCAGGAATGTAATTCTAGCCCACTGAAGCCTCTAACACAGACCATTAATTCACAGCCAGACCTGAGGACAAACAAACCCCCACTCAACATAAGATTTCAGTATGACCTACAGCTAGAAAGCTGCTGCTCTGAGTTTAATTGCACACATTGCAATTCTGAAGGTAGCTGTAGGTTTTAAAAAAAGTCCTCCAGCTGCCAGTGATGATCATCTCCTCCTTCCCAGGGTGGCAAACACACACTGAAGCTTTCTCTCATCACCAAGCTCCTGCTATCAGAGCGACAAGCAGTCTCAGCACACCTATGAGGTCCAGGACAAACCTAACTCAGTGGCTGAGGGTCAACAATCTCAGTACTCTTTTACATCAGCATAGAACTACACCATACAATCCACGAAGTGCAAACAAACAGCCAGTGGTACATCAAACCCTCTCCTCCTGCCGAGGTAAGCTGCTTTAGCAGGATCTTACTGAGTTGTGGTCAGGCACTGGACCCTTGGCCATTGTTACTGCTTCTTCACAAGCCAGCAGTGACCAGTCACCATGGGAAACCATTGCCAAAAAGGACAACAATAAATACACAAACAAATAAACATAACAGTATAGAGGTGAGAATGGGAGACATGAGTCTGGCCCTACTGCTGATACTTCGAATTGACGCTACAGCCTAACCCTCCAGTCTAAAACTGAGCAATATTCTCATTTTCATCAGAGAGCCCTAGTGAGGATGAAGCACTTTATAAAAGCAGTTTGAAAACAATTAAAGTATGAGGCCACAGCTATGGCATGCCTCCCACAGAGCTGCGTTAGCCATGCACTGCTAGCAGAAGTGACTTTTGATGGGTGTCAGGACACAGAGCTGATACAACCCAGAACCCGCACAAGGAGCCAAGGCTGTTGCTTTTCTACCATCGGCACTCAGCTCTTAGCTGTGCATTGGGATGATGCTGCCTGGAAGAGACTTCTTCTAAAACAACAAGTTTGGAAAAGACTCTGCCTCATCTTCCATCCTTGGTTACATACAAGTGCCCCTAGTTCCCAAGAGATTGTTACAAATTCAATTTCTATGCTTTACACTTTGGATCTGAAACTAAAACTCGGGCACTTTCTCTCTCCCTTTGGCTACATACGTTGAATTGCACGATGAACAGATAACCATAATTATTTACCCTATCTTTATGTACCCTTTACTGAACCAAAGATATTACCAGGAAAAATCTTTCCATAAGTCAAAGGACTGCTGTGATATAGGAGGCTGTACGTTTTCATAAGGCACACTTACAGAGTGGTATTTCTTTCTTTTTCCAAGAGCCTTTGAAATATGGCCAGGCCTCCAGGTAGCCCATGCCAGGTCCAGAACTGCCAATTTAACAGCAACAAGGAAAGACTCTTCGGATCACGAGAGGGTTGAGCTCTCACTTCAGACAAGTACCAAAAGTATCTATAGCACTTTTGTTGTTAGAAACAACACATCATAATTAAATTTAAAAGTCAAAATGCTGTCACTGTGTTCCTCCCTTGTCTTTGTCCTAATTTTTATTGGATGCCTTGGCACAAACTTTACGGCGTCTGCTTTCTGTATTTTCCTTAAATGATTCCCCCTTCAAGATTATCTGATCTCTCCTCTTTTTTTACTTTCTGCATTTTTTTCTCACCCCCATTCCCACTTCTTCTCTATGCTGGTCTTTTTTTCAACTGTTGTTTCTGTTCTTCCACTGCTACCTTCACTTCATCCCTCCACTGTCTTTGAATGGAGATGAGATCACGGCTGAGATCATGGTTACTGCGAGTGCAGGGGAAGCAGGGGACCTCGGAAGACAGCAGGGAAGCTGGCACTAACAAGTCAGGGGTGACAGGCAGCAATCGCCTCCCTCCGCACAGTGTCGGGGTGGTCAGTGCTGGCACGTCTGGGGTGAGCTTTGCCAGAGCAGTGCTCACTGCCATGGAGAAACAACGTTGTTATCAAGGCGGAAAACATGAAGGCCAGTTCACAGGAGGAGTAACACAGCTAACCAACAAGAGAGAGGTGAGACAGTACTCAAAGCAGGGTGCTGGTGCCAAGGAGGGGATTATTCCGGATGAAGTTCAACAACAGTGACAGGAACAATGGGATGTGAAGATGGGGAATATGCAGACTAAATACTGTCTGGGGAAAAAAAGCTTTCTGGCAGTGAGAACTGGCGGAAATCTTTATGCTTGGGATTTGGCTTTAGTATGAGATGTTGAACAGTGCTCCTCTTCCCAGGGCCTGTGCACCACTGTTGGCCTGTAGACAGACTGCCCAACAGTTACAGGATACCCAAGCCCCCAAAAGAAAGAAGGCACAAGAAACCCAACATGGAACACGTGCTGCCATACTGCAGGCAGGCAAAATAGATCGAGGAAAAATAAGAGTAACAAACAGCTGTTCCCTGCTGAAAAAACGTGACAGTAAATGGAAATCACTGTGACACGGCTGTACCAGACAGTCCCTGGATGGTTTTCAGTGAAGGCAAGTGGGCGTTGCACTGTAAGAGGTACTGACAAAGAGGGCAGCTCTGGATAACTGGGAAAATCAAAACCAAAAAACCAGAACAGATGAAGCATAAAGTAGTTTCCTATTCAGATTTCTTTGGTCCTTATGATTTTGGAGAGAAAAGACAAGAAATAATAAATCGCAGACCCAGTGTTCTGCATTCACAGATCAGCAAAATGCATTTATCTCTCTCCAGAAAAGGAGTTTAAAAACAGAGTTCATGGTCAGAGATTTTCTGTAAGGACA